AAGCCACCTCTGCTACATATATGCAACACAGAGAAACAACATAGTCTGGTTTGAATGTAAACCTGTACATGGTCAGAGAAACGAAACTTGTGAGTTTACCAAACGGACGGATGGCGTAGGGAGTAAAGCTGTTCCAGGATCTGGTCGTCCTGCTAGAAATACTTCTATAAAGAAACTGATTTAAGTGCCACACTTATATCTTTTCGGCGTGGTCCAATTAAAGTATAATTTTTGCTTTTCTTCCTCTGAGGGCTTCTTCATTTCAGGCCCAGTTGTGGGGGCTTCGTTGCCCCTGTTTTGGATAGAGTTTATTTTACAAGTAGAACGTTTACTAGAAACTATGCCCCCCCACCACCTTGAGTGCTTGTATTATTTTGCATTCTTTTACAGAGCAAAGATGGGGAAATCAAAAAGGCCGGCTCTGACGGTGAGTAATGATCAATGCTCTTTTCCCCCTCTCTTTACTACCTAGAGCAGCAGTCACCAACTGGTTAAAATTAGCTCCAGCAACTGCTTCCTGTTGGGGCCTTAAGGAGCCTGGGCAGGGAAGCAAGGCATGGGGAGTAGAGGCTGGCAAGGCGCCTTCGATGTGAGTGACATCGAGTTGGCCACGCCCACCCATTCACATGACCACCTAGCCATGCCCACCCAGCCGGTCCTTAGGCAGGTCATATTAGTGATCCGCAGGATTTAAAAGTATGGATTTAGTGGTCCCTAAGATCCAAAAGGTTGGGGACTCTGACCTAGAGTTCAAGCTTTATTGGAAGCTTAAACAGCTGATAACCCAGTGAAAGTGTCCTTGATGTGACTTTTTGGGTTGAAACGGGCAACCACAATAACACGAGATCCACTTATGAACTTTCTAGCGTGCCTTTCAAAACTTCTCTAAGTTTTTAAGCTGCAATGGACCCAAGTTACAGGGCCGGTGTAACTTTTGAGCGGTTGTTAAACAAAACGGTTGTAAATCAAGGACTGTCAGTATCTCATTAAAGCCACATCCCAGGACAGATTTTATTATTAGGCATGCCACATGAATCCAGATCTTAAGCAGTGCTGGGATGCAGATGGGCTGTGGGTTGTGGGTAAGACAATATCATGAGCTTGTAGGAATCTACCCAAGGGATCAGCTGGAACCCATATACTGCACTCCTCCGCACTGTGAATAAGAATCATAGGATGGTATTTATTTTTAATCTCATTCATTCCTAGCATTTCCCCCATTGTCATGGAAATCAAGTCAAGGAGGTTCTTTAAAAATTCACCCTTAGCACTGATGATGTTACCTAGTTAGGGTAATGAAACATCTACAAGAAAACAAGCAAACACAGAGAGCACCAAGGGCCCTTCAAATTCACCGCTGTTTAGACCCAAACTGGTTTAATCTTTAATAAGATAGCCACGCCACATCCAAGCATACCTTCACATACAGACTAACTAAGGTTTAGTCATGCCAGTTTTCTGTCCTCGGAATCCTCGCTTGTGTTCTCAAATGACCCAAATGCTGCACAGGCTAACTTTAAAATCCCCTTTGGCGAACAGCTGTGTGTAGACCAGGGGTGTCAAACTCAAGGCCCACAGGCCAGATCCGGGCTACAGGATGCTCAGATCTGGCCCGCAAGGCCATCCTGGAAACAGCGAAGGACTGGCCCACGGTGCCTCTGCCAGCGAAAACGAGCTCAGAGTGGGGGGGAGCATGCCAGTTTTTGCTGGCAGAGCGCTGCAGGAGGCTGTCCCAGCCTAAAACGGAGCCACCACAAGTGCCCCAGAGACGAGTGATATTGAGATGGCCACACACACCTAGACACACACAACACCCCCCTCCCCCAGGTCCAACACAACTCTGATGCAGCCTTCAATGAAATTGAGTTTGACACCCCTGATGTAGACAACTACTAGTTTGATCAGCCTTCAGATAGATTGCCAAAGATGATCTTCTCTGCTGCTTGATTCATCCCACTCCCTGAAATATGACTGTTGGATTTTTGTTTTTAGGGGATATCGTAGATTGTTCTGCAGAATCTCCTCCATGCTCTTTGAAATCACGAACACACTCCTTATCCACAGGTGAGCTTGGGAGATGCAGACCATCTCATTTCCTTGGTACCTAATTTTTTTCATTCTCTCTTCTTTGCGAAGCCTGTGGGTTCAGTTGCTTGCTAATGAACCTTTCCCTGCAAACCCACAGTCCCAAAATAGATGCGAGCCATTTAGGCAGACTGGTCAATGTATATGCCAATTTTAATGAAGCAATTTAATTAAAAATTTGTTCCCACCAAACCTACTGCCCTCCCTGAACGATTAGCATTTGACATTTGAGCTTAGACAAATATGCAAAACCCAGAAATCAAGGATTGGACCAGTGGATGGGGGAAGAGTGTTATAATTTTTAAGTGTTATGCTTGGGGCTTGATGGATATTGTGGTTTAATGGGGAGATAAATAACCACATGTGCAGCAACCATCCCCAAACTGATTCCTTTGCCTATTTTGATTGGAGCTTCAGAGATGTTAAAAAGCTGAAACACATCATGACTACAGCACCAGTGGATGGAGAACCAACCTAGTATCTTGGTTCATCTTGGTCACCACCATACAAAAACAGGTGTTAAAACTCTGCAAAGAGTGCAAAGAAGAGCCACAAGGATTATTAGGGGGCTGGAGGCTAAAACATATGAAGAACAGTTGCAGGAATTGGGTAGATCTGGTTCAGCGGTTAGCAACTGTGGCTCTGGAGCTGCATGTGGCTCTGGAGCTGCATGTGGCTCTGGAGCTGCATGTGGCTCTTTCATCCCTCTGCTGCGGCTCCCTCTCGGCTCCACAATTGATAGGGCTTTTGGTTAGGACAGGTAGAGGAAAAAAGACGCCACGCTAGGAGGAGATTCTATGGTGGGGGAACTGGACTTCCAGTCGGTTTCAGAATTGAATCGGGGGAGGGGGGCTTCTGGTTAGGACCTTTGTGGCTCTTTGAGTGTTTTAAGATTGCCGACCCCTGGTCTAGTTTAATGAAAAAAACGAACTGGGTAGAAATGACAGCAGTGTTCCAATATCTATGGGGCTGCCACAAAGAAGAGTGGGGGTCAACCTATTCTCCAAAGCACCTGAGAGTAGGACAAGAAACAATGGATGGAAACTCATCAAGGAGAGGAGCAACCTAGAAATAAGGAGAAATTTCCTGACAGTGAGAATGATTAAGCAGTGGAACAGCTTGCCTCCAGGAGTTGTGGGAGCTCCATCCCTGGAGGTTTTCAAGAAGAGATTGGACAACCATTTGTCTGATGTGGTGTAGGGTCTCCTCCTTGAGCAGTGGATTGATCTAGAAGACCGCCAAGGTTCCTTCCATCTGTTATTTTGGTAGGGCAACTCAAGCTGATGCAGGTGGTGAAGTGGGAACGTTGATTTGGGGTTGTTTTTTTTTAATGAGCTTGAGAACACAGGCCCTTCTCTTGCAGATCCTTCCGTCCGCACGGGATCTGCGGATCCCATTGGCCGAGCAGGTACGGAGCCAAGTGGTGGCTCCCTTGAGGGCCGACTTTCGTGGAAGGTTCTCGGGAAGCAGCTGAACGCCGAGTTTAAGGGCAAGTGTTCAGAATTCAGCCCTTCGCCAAGAAGAGGTTTTGTCAATCAGGACCCGGTCGGAGCCCGGGAGCCAAAAGGGAGAGAGAGCTGGAGCAGCAGTTTGCCCAGAACTGGGAGAAGCACGGCTGCCCCTCTTCCCCTCAGGAGGACCAGCAATGCGGGCGAAGGACGGGCATCTGTTGAACTGCAGAATTCCTTTGCTCACTTGAACACGGTTGCTGGAGGTAGGTGAAACGGAGGCTGCGGATTCTCAACTTACCATGGCTTGTTTAGCGACCGAACCTACGACACCCCCTCTCCCCCAAAAGATACGGGTGGTCCTCAACTTATGATCACAATAGAGCCCAAAATTTCTCTTGCTAAAGGTGAGATGTTTGTTAAGTGAGCTTCCCCCACCCACCCACATTTTGTGACCTTCGTTGCCGCTGTTGTTGAGTGCATCACTGCAGTCGATACATTTAGTAACAAGGTTGTTGAGCGAATCTGGCAAAATTTTGCTCATCCAAAGGTCGCTGCAACCGTCATAAATATGAGTCAGTTTGCCAAGCTTCACATGATCACGGGGCTGCTACAAAGGTCACTAAGTGTGAAAAACGGTCATAAGTCACTTTTTTCAGTGCCATTGTAACTTTGAACAGTCACTAAATGGACTGTTGTAAGTCAAGGACTACTTGTATTTGCAACCTGGCTTTGAAGTTCCAGCATCTACTTCCCCAAACCATGGTCATTGGGACTGCATTTTGAATGTTTGGCAACCAGCATGCCTTTATGGCTATTTGCAGCAGTGTGTATATTTGTGTGTGTGTGTGTTGACTCAACATACAACCATTCATTTAGTGACTGTTTGAAGTTGCAAAGGCACTTACAACCTGTCATGGCCCGTATGACTCTCACAAAATCCTCATGGTCATATGACCAAAACGGGAGTGTTTGGCAATTGGCATGCATGTATGAGAGATTGAGATTGAGATTTGTTTTATTTATATGCCGCCCTATTCCCAACGGGACTCAAGGCGGCGAACAACTCAAGCGGGAAAGGGAACACAAAAATACAAGACAAGCATTTAAAAAATAACCAACAGCCACACAAGTCGAGAGGGGAAGGGAACTCATCAACCCCAGGCCTGCCGACACAGCCAGGTTTTAACGGCTTTTCGGAAGGCCTGGAGAGAGGTGAGGATCT